AAAAACTCAAAAGATGACCCCCAAAAGTTGGCAGAACTAGACAAATTAATCTCTGCCAGTTCCTTAGGGGTGGAGCATTTCCTGCGTGAGTTGGGACAGTTGTATGAGGCTGAACACGCAATGGTGAAAGAAGGTAAACTGGCAGAAAGCCAAAGACAATTCGTCCATCTCCCAGGCATAGCAGCTGACCTGATGCTGGAAGGGTTTCCCATGGAGCTGATCGATGGAGATGCATCCAACATCCCACTGCAGTGGGTGACAGATGTTCTGAGTCAGCTCCATGCCAAGCTCAGGGGAAGGTCCAAAATGCTGGTTCTAACAGTGCTGGGAGTGCAGAGCACTGGGAAATCCACCCTCCTCAACACCATGTTCGGCCTGCAGTTTGCAGTGAGCAGTGGCCGATGTACGCGAGGAGCCTTCATGTCACTCATTAAAGTGGCAGAGAACTTTCAGCAGGAGCTGGGCTGTGATTTCATCCTGGTGATAGACACAGAAGGCTTTAAAGCCCCTGAACTGGCCAAGCTGGAGGACAGTTATCAACATGACAATGAGCTGGCCACACTGGTGATTGGACTGAGTGACATAACGATCATTAACATGGCCATGGAGAATGCCACTGACATGAAGCATGTTCTGCAAACTGTGGTCCATGCCTTCCTCAGAATGGAGGAAATAGGGCAAAAACCCAACTGCCAGTTTGTGCATCAGAACGTCAGTGATGTGTCTGCGCATGAACAAAACATGAGGGACAGGAAACACCTCCTGGAGCAGCTGAATGAAATGACCAAAGCTGCAGCAAGGATGGAAAAGAAAGGCCGGGAGCTGACATTTTCTGATATTATGGACTATGATCTGGAAAAACACAATTGGTACATTCCTGCTCTGTGGCATGGAGTCCCGCCTATGGCTCCAGTGAATATGGGATACAGTGAAAAGGTTTATGAATTAAAGAAATATTTGTTTGAATTTCTGAAAGGCTGTTCACAAAACAGATCTCCCAAGGACATCCCCCAATTTCTCGAATGGGTGAGGAGCCTGTGGAATGCTGTAAAACATGAGAACTTCATTTTCAGCTTTAGAAACAGTCTCGTCGCTGAAGCCTATAACCAGTTGTCTGTAAATTATGCAGAATGGGAATTGGGTTTCCGCAAGATGATGCACCTCTGGGTATCTGAAAAGGAAACTTTCATCCAAAATCAGCCACCAGATAAGCTAGACACAAGTGTTTTAACCAAACTAAAGAATGAGGCACAGGACAAACTGAGACAAGAAGCAAAGAAGATTTTGGATCATTTAAAACAATATTTTGAAAGTGGAGCAGAAAATCTGCACCTGATAGAAAAGTACAAAGAGGATTTTAGGAGAAGTGCAAATGGTCTGAGGAATGAACTGGAGAGTTATTCATTCAGCAAGTTGGAAGAAGCGATTGAAATTAGAAAAGGCCGACATAAAACAGACGCTGTCCTGTCACAGTACAAGAGAAGAATTGAAGAGAAAGTTGACAGGCTTCTGAACCATTGCAGGAAAAGCAAATGCAAACTAAATAATGATGAACAGGAGAAAGAATTTGAAACCATGTGGAGAGAAACATTGTCAGAATTATCACTCATTCCTTTACAGAAACGCATCATATATAAGGATGTGGAGTTCCATTTGAGAAGAGACCTAGAGAATAGGGGGAGTGCAGCATGGCAGATGTTAAAGGAGGCCAAAAGCTTGTCTACTTATAGAACACAAAATTTCAAAATGAAAAATGAATACTTCGACTTCAGTGTGCTCAAATGTAAGAAAATATCAGAGTCAGCTGTAAAAGCGTTGCAAGGTGTGAAAGAGTTCTTTACACAGGAACGCTGGCATAAAACAGAGGCTCTGGCTAAATTCTTAATAGCTGAGTGCAATAGTTACACTGAAGAAAAGGTAAATGGCAAAGCAGATTATGATGATACTTATTGCAGAGAGTTGTTGCGGATGATTAACGAGCAGCTTCAGCAGGCGAATGTTCAAAACCTTCACATCAGCTCTTGTTTTGAAGTCGAGCTGAAGCTTCACATTTTGGGGGATGCAGCTCGGGCATTTCAGAAGATGCATGAAGAATTCATTAAAGAAAATTACCCTCTGCAACGTCTGGGGAAACTGAAACCTCAGTATCTCTCCACGTTCAAAGCTCTGTACTTAGAGAAGGATGAGTGTCAAGATAGGGCCTGGAATTTCTGTGATCAGTGTCTGAGACCTGCCCTGGTGGACTATGTGAACAAGAGACTTGGGACAGAAATCGTGGATGACATTCTCAGCAGTGAACAGTCTGTTGAGTACAGCACACGGAACTTCTTCCAATTCTTTGTTCTGAAGCAGCTCTTGGAAGAAAATGACTTTAACAATTATGTGCAATACACAAGGAATTATGTAGATTTTATCAAAACCCAGATACAGAAAAACGTGTTAAAACATTACAGAGAGAAGGCAAGTCTGGGAGATTTGGAGAAAAGGATTTTCTCCCCAATAATTAATAAACTCAGTGATGTTCTGAAAAACTCCAAAGGTGAGAAGACTAAGACAGTCTCTGCCTTTTTAGACAACTTGTGTGAAAAGCTGCAGCAGGATCTAGTCATTCCCAAGGACAGTTTAGAAGTGATACTGTTTAAAAACACAGCAAGTGCAGACCAATTTTCAGCTTTTATAGAACAGTTTATTCCTGATCTGGAAAAACGAATTTTATCCACTTTTGAAAATCTGAAAATTCAGTCAAAACTCTCAAAACTTGCAGTGAAGCCGCAGGATGAGATCTTCAAGCGAGTGTTTGGCTGTGGGAAGCAGTGTCCATTCTGTAAAGTCCCCTGTGACGCAGGAACCCCTGCACATACAGAGCATTTTGCAGCAGTGCATCGACCTGAAGGATTAGGGGCATACTGGTGGGTAACAACAGACATACTTAGCTATGATATATGCTCCTCTTCTGTGGCTTCCAATGGCACATTCAGATGTACAGAGACAAAATGGGAACCTCATCCTTATAAAGATTATCGGAAATATTTTCCAGACTGGCGCATCCAGCCAGATCCCAGCATCACGGCTTCCGATTACTGGAAGTTTGTTTTCAAGGAATTCAATCACCAGTTTGCTGAGGCGTTTGATGCTCTCCCTGCCGATTTCCCTGAGGACTGGTGTAAAATAACCAAAGAGCAGGCCCTGGAGAGCCTAAAGGAAGCCTTTAAATTGAAGTAAAAAAGAGGCTGAGAAACTCCATTGTGAGCAGAAAGTTACAGCAGTGAATTTTCTTTACATGTGGCATGTGAAAAAATCCCATATCTTCTAAATATGGAATGTTGTTTCTCTTTTAGTATAAGACACAGGTTGCAGCTTTCAAACAGATAAAGAAGCAATGCTTTTTCACATCACATAGAATTTATGGCAAAATTAAAGATGAGGGAAAGACCCATATGTGGAGTTTCTGCATCTTTGTCTTAAGGAGCAAATGACCAAAATCCCAAATTTGTCCTCACCACTGCATTTTACTGGTGCAGTGGTTAGGACAAATAACCTGCACTTTTGCGGCTAATCTGACACCCAACAGCCTGGCCCTGATTCTCACCTTCCATGGGAAAACACATGGGAGGGAAAAAACATTTCAGCAACAACAACAACGGAGGTTTGCAGCATAACGTAATGGGGAAGGGAGGGATGCAGGCAGCAAACCCAACAGACCCTGAGGATTCAAAGGGAATCCCCACAAGCCCATCCCACCCCTGAGAATGGTCTTTCCATCTGCCCTGCACTCTGCCCCGCACACCCCTCTCACCCAGGGCAGTAAGGCTGAGGCGCCATGGCGATTGCCGGCCACCCTCTGCATAGGGGTGCTGTGGGGATGGGGGGATGGGCGAGGAAGGGAAGTGGCGGATGCTGCCCCATCCAAGAGATTAAAAAACAGACTAGAAATGTCACTTTTGGGCCAGGCATGCAGCGCCCTTACACTCCGCTTGGTGCCATTTCTCTGTCTGTCTCTCTGTCTGTGATGGGACAATTTTTCAATGTCTCATCTGATCAATTCCAGAATTCCAGGCAGTGAAATGGCCAGAACCCTTTTGATTTTAGAGGAAATCAGTAAACCACAATGGGCAAAATGGGGGACACATGAAGCTCCTGGCATCCATTTAGCACAGCCACATCTTCAAGCACCTCTGCAGTTGCCTATAGATCAAAGAACTAGCTTATGGCTGGATTAATGCCTCCAGCATAACAACACCCCCAGCTCAGCTCTGCCTATCCTCCCAGTGGAGTGTAAGATGTTGGCCACCTGAATGGCTGATGTCCCAGAAAAAAAACAATATGGAGGAGGGATGGAAGAAGTCCTGTTTATTTGCATGGTAAAATGGGCTGGAGAGCTGAAGTGGACTGTTTGTGACTCCCTGGTAAGACTAGAACAGTGATCCAGGAGTTCACATTTGAAAAGGTTTATGAATTAAAGAAATATTTGTTTGAATTTCTGAAAGTGGACTGTTTGTGACTCCCTGGTAAGACTAGAACAGTGATCCAGGAGTTCACAGTGTTACTGGTTGGTGAAATCTAATTACAGACCACATCACCGGCTTGGGGTAGCTGCCCTGTTTTCTGACAGTCTGACCTGAGATTGGCACTCACAGTTGTGAGTCACTCCAGACAGCATGAAATTGGGGGAACCTGGTGAGGGGCAAGGGGACACCCAGAACCCCCAGCATGGGGGGGGGAAGGTGGGAATGGGAGGGAGGCAGAGTCCTGGCCTGAGAGAGAAGGGAGAGGGATTAATGTGTGTGGGGGGGGGAGACTAGGGAACCCTAGGATGGGAGGGAAATAGGGGAATGGGAGCACATTGAGAGCCCCTGCCATGGGGGGAGAATTGGGGACCCAGGCATTGGGAGAGTGAGGAATAGGGGACACAAAGCCCCTGGTATGGGGGCAATGGGAGGCACACAATGCTACTGGCATTGGAGGGGAAAATGAGGTCCCTAGTATGGGAGGAGGAGGGAGTTTGGGGGGCACACAGAGCCCCTGCAATTGAGGGGCACGGGATGGTGGCGCACAGGAAGGTTGGGGGCGGGAATGGAGGGATGTGGGAATCCTCTGGTGTGTGCAATAAGTTCACCCGCCAGCAGCAACCGAGTGTGCGACCCCCTAGGACACACACACTAAACCCAGAACATAAAGTTAGCAACATCAGCCTTATCCACAGGCCTGAGCCGGGGTGACTGAATGGCAGGATGTCCTCGGCCGCGCAGGGTGACCGTTGAAGAAGTGACACAAATGAAGGAGGGGGTGGGGCAGGCTCGTCTGAGCCAGAGACAGAGCTTTCCCGGAGCCATCCAGTGCTGGGAATGAACTCCCCCAGGATCTAAAACGCCCATCGGTTCTAAAATCCAGCACCAACCCCACCAGCTTTTGTTTGAACTGCAGGATGGATTGTTGCTGTCACTGATATAAGCACCCAGCCCAGCAGACATAAAAAATTCACATGAATGTTACACTTGCTCACCCAAAATCTTACAGCCTTCGCTTTTCCCCTCAAGGTCACGCTACTACTGCTTCTCTGGCTGTGTCTGGGGCTCCTTCGCTCCTTCTCTGTGTCCTCCTGTCTGGGCTGCTCCCCGCTCACCCACAGCCCCACCGCTCAGTGCCCCAGGCCCTGCGTTTGCTACCTCGGTCTCCAGGAGAAGAAAGGGGGCCTTATCCAGCAGTGCAAAAGAGAAAACCCTTCACTCCATTTTATTTTTGCTGATTTGACTCAGAAAGAGCCCAGTTGAGAACAAACCCCTACAAACCTTTTAGCATAAGCCACCAAACTGCCATGAGATATTTATGTCATCTTGCTATCAATGATACAGGAAGGGCTGTGGGTGACTAGATAGAAGGTTCAATAGAATCAGGAGCCTATCAGTGGACTAGGGGTGTTGAAATGCCTGAGTTGTGTAGGGGTGTTCATCCGGGCACATCGTTTATTGTAGGTACAACCCTAGCAGGGTTGTAGAGGCTGCTTGCTTAAAGGAAACAGCACTGAATCACCGTCCTAGTATCGTCCTGTCCCATTTGGGGGGCTGGCATTTAAAGGAGACTTCAATATTTTTGACCCGTAGAAGTCCTAAAAGACTTTCCTTCCAGAGGTAGGGGCATTAGCCCCAGTATGTTTTGAATAAAGTTCTACATTAAAAAAAATTATCTAGCTCCCTAATTTATACTCATCTGTTTTT